ATCTATCTATCTAATTTCAAAACAAATTCTAGCCCACATTTTGAGCTTAGGAAGAACAAGCCAACCCACTAATTAGTGGTATTAGCTAGAAACAGAAGGGAGGAGCCCTGTGTTTCCAAATCTTCAGTGGCCCATTAGCAACCGTCACGATGGCTATATTATTTCACTTTGTTGTTTAAATCAACTCAGGCCTAACACTGGCCTTTACCCTAAGAAAAAAGAAATTAGTAAAACTCACGGCTTTGATGAGCTAGTGATACATTTAATGCATGAAAATAAATACATGACCATTAAAATTTTTAAATGTCCACCCCCGTATCACCCAGATCCCTTTGTTTCCCGCTGGTCTACATGCTGTGCCTGGGAAAATTCCCAAGGCCTCCAGACTCATCCTGAGCAGGAAGCTTGGCTTGAAGGGAGGGAGAAGGGTGAAGGTTGGCGATCACACCATGTATTCACACTTGGCGGCGAGACAATGTTGTGGGTGTGAAGGAGGAAGTGAGGGGGACCCTCCCCAAGGGACACCCCTGGTTGGCACTGACACGCTGTGTGACTACGACAGGACAGGAGGCAGGCATCTCAAGGGGAGGCCCTCAAATCCGCATCAGCAGAGAAAGCAGGGAGCAGTTAGAGGTCAGAAGGGAGGCACTGCCCACCCTCGATGTCTGTCCCCATGAGCCGAGGGCTTCTCCACTGCCTGCTGGTCTCCCCAGAGGCCTGCCCACCAGCACCATCCTCTGAAACCATGCCCCTCGCTGTGACGCCCATGGGCAGACCCGCAGAAAGGACCAAGAAACTCATTTCCAAGGGGGCTTTGGTTTCTGGGTGGCCCCGCCTCGTCGGGGGGTAACTGGCACTGAAACACTGACTGAATGAGCCCTGGGAGTCACCAGGGGGCTTCGGAAGGTCACCCCCGACGGGGAAGGCCTGGGATCCCGAGGCCCATTTGTGTGGGGGGTACCGGTGGGCGGGCGACCTGCGCTGGGGACATTAAGGTGGGTGAGGGAATGGGAACGTTCCCGCCCCAGAGGGCGTGGAGACTCTAACCCATCCACCGACAACCTCCGGGAGTCTGCTGCCATCCTGGGCTCTGTCTTCGCGGGACCAGTTGGGTGAATGGCTCGCACTGGGGTCTCCCTGGGGCGGGGCGAGTGGCTGCCCCTAGGGGTAGCTGGGGGTGTCCAGAAGAGGGCATGGAGCTTTGCAGCATCCCCCTTCGCCATCCATGGGGCCTCCCAGCTGGTACCCTCGGGTCGGGAGCCAAAGAGTGACTCATCGCAGTAAGAAGGAGTGTGTCTGATCAGTCTGGCAAAGGGAAGAGAGACAGTGAGCTGGGGGAATAAACCCTCAAAACCTTGCCCGCGCCCACTCCCTGCCAGGCACCTGCAGCAGCACAGGGTTGCCTGTAGATCCCAGAAGTCCGTCTCCCAGCCTGGCACGCACAGTGAGGCCACAGCCCTCGTGTACCACTACCCCCATCTCTGCTATTTTTCCCCTGCCAAGCATCCAATCCCACCCCCCATTCCCTGGCACACGCCCCAGGCCAGGCCAATTTGCATATTCCATCCTCCTGACCACACTGATTGGCTCGGGAATAACAACATGACCCATTCTGCCCAATGAGAGCCTGTCTTAGGATCTTTGCTAAAACTGCTAGGAGAGAAATGTTTTTCTTCCACCTAGCCCTGAAAAACTGGCATGCTGTGAGGGCAAAACAGCTCGTGACCCTCCCACCTGGACGTGTAGGGGAAAGCTGCACTAAAATGGAGACAGAATCCCAACAACGTTTTGAGTCCCTGTTACGTGATGCCCTTTTTCTGCTGAAGCCAGTTTGGGTAAGTCTTTTCGTCACTTTCAAACAAGAATCTCAATATAACCTCAGTCTTTAGAACTTTCACTTTTTCCTTTGACGCACTACTTTCCCCTTTCCTAGTGGCCTTGTCAGCTGCACCCTCTGTTGTCACGTGGCCCTTCTGACTAGATTTGAAACTGCACAGCCCAGCTCCTGGCACATAGGGAAAGCTCAGTTTGAACTTCTGTGATAAAGCTGACCTGGCCTCACAACCAGAGCACCTTTCATGTACAGGCCCAGGACTTAGCATGTCACTTGTGTTATCTCATTATTTCTCACAACATCTCCAGGAGGAAGACTATGATAGGCCCATTTTACAGACAAGAAAACTGAGGCACAGGGAGGGTCGGGCCCCCAGTCAAGAAGGAGGATACAGACAAGATGCAAATGCAGCCCCTCCCCTCCCTGCAGCCCTCAAGGACCCAAGCTCTTGATCACTAAATCAGACTTACGTGCCTCTCACCTTTCATTAGATTCATTCAGCAATTTTTAAAAAATTAACCCCACAAATATTCATGGCATACCTATGAGGAGTCAGGTCCAGTTTTTGACCAGGACTAAAGTGCTTCCACTCTCAAACTCCAAGTCTTTGAAAAGTCAACCTTTGCCACTTGATTTAACTGCTCAAGCCACGTCTGTTGATGCCCATGTCTGTCTGGTGCCAAAGTTTTAACTCAATAGCATCTCTACCTCTTATGCACCCTCTCACTTGACACCCTCTGCTTGTCAGCATCCAGCATAAAATTCCATCCTCCAGGAGAACGTGAGATTGACTGTTAACCTCCCTTGTCATGGACATCATACTTCTGCTATTGCAGCCCACCTTGATATCAGCATTTTCAGGCACGTTGTAAGTGTCAGTGCTGCTAATGTCAACCTGACCCTGCCTTGTGTTCCATGGGAATTGTCCGGTGTGTCTCCCTCAACCTGCCATTACAGTGGGGTCTTGCTTTCATCTTGCTGACTTTAATCTTAAATATGCACCATTCCCATTCTCAACTAATGTATGTGCCTCTTGGCTCAGAATGGATCCTAAATATGATGGGCTAGTTGTTACAGACTGCATTGTGTCCTCCCAAAATTCATGTTGAATTTTAAAGAGGTAATTTAAGGTTAGATGAGGCCATAAGGGTGGGGCCCTAATCCAATAGGATCCGAGTCCTTCTAAGAAGAGGAAGAGGCACCAGGAGTGTACACCCTCACAGAGAAAAGTCCATGTTGAGGGCACAGTGAATCTATCTGCAAGCCAAAGAAAGGATTCAGGAGAAACCAACCCTGCTGGCATCTTGATCTTGGACTTCAAGCCTCCAGAACTGTGAAAAAATAAGTTTCTGTTGTTTAAGCCCCCCAGTCTATGGTATTTTGTTATAACAGCCCTGATTAATACATTAATCTCTGTCTTTGTTCAAACAAACCACTGATGACAAAAAATTTGACAGAGCCCTTAGGCCCACCACTGGACACCTCCCTCCTGGCTAATAATCCAAATAATCCAATTCTAACTTACAACCATAACCATAAGTATTAGATTCTGTTTTTCTAACTTGTTCAGGAAAACGCAGCAAGAACCGTTTTCAAAGTGACCTGCTGAAATTTGGAATCACCACATTTATGTCATTTCATGAATCAATCATGTCAATAATCTTATGCAAATTGCTGTGTGATCTTGGGCAAATCACCTGACCCCTCTGGGCATTAAGAAGCCCAGTCTATGACATTTGGGGATGGGGACATCACAATTGTCATTGCTACCATTTATTGCGACCTTCCTAAGTGTCAGGTTACCCTGCCAAGTACACGTCTCATCTCATATAATCCTCTCAACAATCCTACTAGATCTCACTTCCACTGTGAGGAAACTGTGGCTCAGAGAGGTCAAAGTGCTTGCTCAAGGTCACACAGCATGTGACCAGCAGGGCATCTCCCCGTCCTGTTACCTGTATTTGTTCTTCTTCCTTGGTGTGAGGGTCGGGATGCTGCCCCTGCAGGAGGTGGTCTCACAGCTCCCGCTAGCCCCTGAGGCCCCTGTACCCACTCCTCTGGTTCTGCTGGCTTTCTCCACCCAGGGTGGGTCAAAATCTGGTGGTGCAGGCCGGGTGCCTGCAGGGCTGCCAAACAAAGTCTCATCCACATACGATGGCCTAACCTTGACCCGGCAGCTGCCTCGGCAGCGCTGCTGAAGGTGGAGGGTCTGCATCCCACTGATGGCCAGCTCCATGGGGGTCTTCATGCTGCCCATGGTCCCCAGTGACAGCAGGTGTGCTTTGCCCACCAGGCCCTGCCTCCAGGGCTCCCTGTAAAAAGGGGTCAGGGTGGCAACCATTTGTCATCAGCAAAGACTGGCAATCTCTTCAGTCCCCCTCCCCATGGCAAAAGGATCTTGTTCTCCTTCAGCCAGTCCTCCTCAAAGGGAAGCTGCCAACCCCAGGGGACATTTCAGAAATATGTTTGACCTTTTCTTAGTTGTTAATGATGGGGACAAAGGTGCCACTGGCAAATACGTAATGTATAAGTACGCATTCCTAGCATACAATGAGTGCTCAGTAAATATTTATAAAATTCTAGAGGGGGATAAAGAGATTTTGCTCATTTCGTCACCAAGCAGAAAACAAACTGTGGTGGGAGGAGGGAGACAGGGCAGGTTCCCATATCCTGTACATATTTATGGGGCAAAAATAATAACCCGTATCAATCCCATGCCTACCTGGTGCAAAGAGCTTTACAAGCATTGTCTCATTTAATCCTCTCAAGAGTCCTGTGAAGTAGCTTCCATTATGTCCATGCTACAGATGACAAAACCGAGGCTTCAAAAGGGCGAAGTCACAAGCGGAAGTCCTACCTATAAAGCTAAAACAGTGGAAGCGGAAGTTGAACCTGATAGGAGTCTAGCGCTTGTGCACTTAACCATTCTACTACGGGGGAATCACGACCAGCTCCACACCACCCCGCCTCCCGCGCATTGTCCCACATTCCTCGATCAATGTCCCGTCCCAGTTCACGCCCGAGGTCCCGCATTCTTGAGTTATTTTCCTACCTGAGCATCTTGGCTCAAGGACGTCGGCCGCAACCCTCAGCGCCCCCTCCCCTCAGGTCTGGACTCCTCTGAGGGGACGCTCGGGCCCCTGTGGCACGCGGTACATCCGAGTTCTGCAGCTTGGAATCCCCGGGGCCAGGGAACCCCGGCCTGGGGCACCGCGCGGACGGGCTCCACAGGAGCAGCCAGGCCCTAGCGACGTGTGCTCGGCCCGCTCATTAAACAGCAACCAGCGAGCGGCAGGTGGGGCGGGGCGGCCAGAACCATTAGTTCCTGGGGGGGCTTCGGGGCCTTGTTCCGGATGCCGTGAAATTCCTCAAAGCCACGGAGAGGAGCCCTCTGCGCCAGTCAGGGGAGTTGTACGCGTGTACGCTGTGTGCCAATCCTCCGGAGGCTGCAAAAGAGAGGCAACGGCGTCCCCCCCTGCCCCGGCCGCGCCGTTGGTACGTCCCCGCAGACTCCGCCCCCTCTCGTTTCCCTGCGCCGGGGCCC